CTTTTGGCAGCTTGAACCCTGCATGTAGCCAAGTTATTCAGCAGCCTGCCATGTTGTCTGCCGATCTTGGGACTCTTAATGGACTTGAATCAGTGGCCTGCCACGTGGTTTGGTGACATGGGGACTGTGCCTTTTTATTTGTCGACCTTGGGTTTGTCAGCCTCAGCACCCGGCAGCTGCCTGAGTGAAGAAAGCCTCCAGCTTCAGTGGGCGGGGAGTAGGAGGCAGAGCTGAAGCCCAAGGTCGAGGGGCTTTCACCCAGCCCCTAGAGCCTGGCACTTTGAACTCAGACTTCTAGCCTCCAAAACTAAGAGAAGAAACTCCTGTTTGTTCAAGCCATCGCATTTGCGGTATTTTCTGTTAGAGCGGCAGGAAGTAACCAGAACCAGCCCCCAGCACGGGCCAGTGTGCTGCCAGAGCGGCATCCTCTCTCTGCCAAGAGATGGAAGGGCCCTTTGCCAGATGCCTGGTACACAGATGGCATGACGCAACCATGGATGGCTGTGGCCATACAAGCCCTCCACTGATACCATCTGGTTTGAAACTGTCTCAGAGCAAAGCAGCCAATGGGCTGAATTAAGGGCTGTGTGGATCATCATCCACAAGTCCAGCCCTTAACCCTTTGTATAGACAGCTGGGGGGTAGCCTGTGGGTTAACTGTGTGGATTGGCCAATGGCTTAAGGAGCAGTGGATGGTAATGGGCAAGGTTCTGAGGGGGACTGCCCTGTGGCAGGACATCTGGGATCACCTTCAAACCTTGGATGCTGACCTGTTTGCATGGAACAGCCCATGCACCCCTTTCCCTGCTGGGGAACCAAGCAGCAGGTGCTGCAGCACGAGTTAGGACGGTGCATCCGGATAGGAAAGCCGTCCAATGGGTTCGCTGGATAAGCGGGCACTGTAGTGCCTGTGTTGGTTGGAAAGCTGTCAAAGAGACAGGTATAGCAGTACAGCGATTTGGTGGCTGCTGTTCAAAATTGCCGTGTGCTCATGCCAATGCCCCAGGCATCTGTTCCATGTTCTTGGACAAATACATAAGGTAATACAGCAGTAACGAGCTGGCACGTGGATCTTACAGGGCCCCTACCCCCTAGTGAGAGGAGCTCTGGTGGCATAGTGCCTAAGGCACTTGACTGCTAACCAGAAGGCTGGTGGTTCAAACCCACCAGTCACTCCTTGGAAGGAAGACTAGGCAATCTACTTCCATAGATCCCGCCTCAGAAACCCAAGGAGGGGTTGCTGGGAGTCGGAACAGACTCAATGGCAGTGAGTTTGGTTTGGTTTTTGGACCCCCTAGTAAAGGAGCAAAATACACTCCTGTGTGTGTGGATGCAGTTACTGGCTTGACCCAGGCATTCCCATGCAAGTAAGAGAACCAAGGTGCTACAAATAAAGGGATTACAAAAATTGAGTTATGTAGGTACTCCCAAGGACTGTAGTGACCAAGATACACACATTGCAGTCACAATGTGCATGAATGGGAAGCTGAGAATGAGGTACAATGGCACTGCCACCTGCCCTATAACCCCCAGGTCACAGGCCTGGTGGAAAGATGTCCTGAAACAATAGACGTGCACCCTTACAGGCAAGGCTTCCCTGGGGCAACAGACTGAGGTGCTGCCTGAGGCTTTGGGATTAATAAAACCAGCCTCCACGAGGGCACTGTTCTTATGTACGAGACTGGGAGTCCTCGGTGACCCTCCAAACAATATGCATAACATTGCAGGGTCTGGAAGCCTATCTGCCCAGGTCGTTGCCAGAGCAAAGCAGCACGGTCCTCCACACACTTCAGGGCCTGCCACCAGGAAACAGAACCATGTATTGGCCTCAGCGTGGGTCACCACCCAGGATGCACTGGTTACTCCGTCCCTCAGGAGGTAGAGGAACTGATTGGCCTAACAGGGGAACCCAGCATCCTGTGGCACAGAGGGCCCTCAGCAGTCAGACCTCACCTGGACCGGGATGACTGGTCGCACAAGGGACAGAAGTGGGCCGCCTTTTCTGACATACAGCAAAACGGGTGCCTTTACTCACCAAGCCTCAGGTGACCTCCCCAGGCTGTGTGCATGATACACTCAGCAGGAAAATGCCTACAGCAGCCACTCTTCTCAACACAGAGAAACCACTAGCGTGTTTCTAATAGAAGGGGAAGACCTGTCCTACTAAACACCCGTCTTTCCAACGGTAGCTAAGTCCTGCTGTACTTTCTTCCTTTGGGGCTGTCAGTGTCTTCCTAGAGTGGGCTCACAGGCTCACTAAAGTCCACCACAAAAGCAGCTGCTGGCTCTGTGGACAACTCCCCTTCCAAGAGCTGAAGATGTGCCTTAGAGCGTGCAGCCTCTGGCTGGAACCATTGGGCAGCTGTGGGAGATAGAGGGGGGCAGTGTGAGCCTCTGTGACTAAGCGGGGGATAACAGGAGAGGGAAAGCAGAATGAGTCCTGACGTTTCTTCAGAGGGGAAGAGAAAGTAGTTTTGTCTTAAAGTAGACTGTCTGGTTGTGCCAGAATGTGAAAGAGCTAAACTCGAGGGTATGGAGTAAGTTCTCAGAAGGCTTGAGAGGAAGTGAACTTTATTTGCCTTGGTTTATATACCTGCACTTAATGAGTTTTCAAAGAAACAGCAGAATACTTTTCAATTTTAATGGATTTATTCGTAAGATGGAAAAAAGACTAGTGGGTATTTCACTGCAGAATGCTCGCGAGCAGTGAGATGACAGTCTTTAAAAGGGGCTGAGGGAGGTGGACCAAGCACAGTGTTTTCCACCGGTACAGAAAGGACACAGAGGAAAACAGTCCAAAAAACCATTTTTGGGGACTGTTTTTGTTCCTTCCTTTGGCTTTAGAGAAGTGATAGGACAAATGGAAGCTCTGTCCAATTTTTCAAAAACAGGCCCGGAACGACAGCAGGGAAAGCTTGCAGCTATGAAATGCCAAAACCGTCCAGCTGGGGAAGGTGGTCCTCTAGAACCGGATGCTCTGGACGTTCTGACAGGCGCTCAAGGCAGGACGTGTTTACTGAAGACGATGTTAGACACACACCAGATCACCTCAGAACAGTACCGATCTGCAGGGTCACATGAAGCAGCAGGGAGAGGCCCAGGACACGTCCAGGGGCAATCTGCCGTGGCTGCCTGGTTTCCCTCCGTGCCCTCCAGCTGGCAAGGGTGTTTGCTGGGTGTCGGTCTTTTTGTGGTATGAACTGTTCTGCCGTGTACCTGCCTACACTGCTGCTGTGGCCTGTACCTCCAGCTGCAGCAGTGCTGCCGGTCCCTACCTAGTCATGACGCCTCCCTTAGGAACCATGACGGAAGCAGGGGCCCACCAGATGGTAAGAGCTGGCCTTGAGGGATGGATGGTAGGGGTCAGGCTTTTGCTGCTAGCTCACTTCCACTTGCTAAGTCACTCTTATATAACACCTGCTGGGGGGCTTGGAGCTCTGGAGCTCTGGCACTGACCTGCCTTTATTAATCAGAGCCCAAAAAACCTCTGCCTCCCTCGGGGGGGGGGGCGTGTACAGAGACTTGAGTTGACTCTGCCATCACACAGGGACCAACCTTGGTCAGAAAGCCCTTAATAAACTCATCACAATCATGGAGCTGCCAGCCTCTTTCTTTGGTCTCATGGCACCTTAGGCAAATTTGGAATTACTGGTCTGCGCCCAGACACATGGGACTACAATTCAGACAGGGACTGGCTTTGTCTGGCACAAGTGAGTCCTATCCTTGGCAAAGACAGCATTGTCATTGACCCAGGCAATCCAGACCAATGGAGCCAAGTCAAGGATCAGTTATGTTAACCACCATGTGATCCCTCAAGGTGGCCCAAAGCAGGACCACAGAGGCACTTTTCCTTTCAAATACAGTTCTTTTCCAACACTGCCTGCAATGAGCTTTGGTGCTGAGATTTGGGGGTGGAGAGGCACATGGAGAAAAGAAAGGGAGAAAGAAGAAAACAACCCCCCCTCCCCCCCAGCTAACTGCACAAAGCCTTTTTCTGGAAAAGCCCAGGCTCTGGGGTGATCAGGGGCACATACACTGCCTTCCCCCTCACCCCCTGGAGCTCGGGCTTCCTGGTCCTTGAGGCACAGATGGGGATTCATCCCACTGCCCATGTACAAGAGCTGTCTGGGAGAGGGAATGGCTGTATGTATGTGTGTGTGTATAATAGGCTATATTAGAAAATTCTCTCTATATAAATATAAAACACTGGTATCCAAACATGATACCAACAGCTAACTAAAGTGCTTAACAGGTATTGGGCATGTATATATGTGTAGGTAAAACTATCCATCCTGACTGCCCAGAAGAAGGAGGGGCGCTCAGAAAGCAAACCATGCCGAGCCTCCTTGCCGCCAGGAGGAAGGGAAACAGTGTGCAAGCAGAAGCCAGGGCAGCGAGGGCCCTCAGGGTTCCTGGGCTGTCTATCACCATCTCACCTCAACACCACACCTCATCCCTGCCTTCACCCTCCTTTTCCCACTGTGTGTCTGTCCAGGAGAGAACAGTGTTGGAAAGCTGGGGGCGGGCGAACAGCTCTTGTCACAGGGGAATGCCTGGCAGGAGAGTAAGCCAGTTGGTCAGTGTGTGCACAGCTGTCTCTGCCCACGGGGTTAGGAGTGAGGGGCGCGTGTAAGCTGGGGCAGGAGGGGAGGATTCTTTTCATCATAATTAATAATACGAAAACATAACCACCACCACTCCTTCAGCCCAGGCCCCGCCCTCCCTCCGCCCTCACTCCTGGTGGACCTGCCTGGTGGGGGCTGGGGAAGGGGGCGGGGAGAAAGCCTGTGGGGAGCCAACCCAGGAAGCTGCCGTTGTAGCTGTAAGCCCCAAGCAAAGCATCAGCACCACCACCATCCCCCAGTCCCTCACCCTTCAAAACAAGGCCCATTCAGGGCTCAGACCTTCAGAAAGGTCAACAGGCAACTGGTCATCAGAGCTCTGGGGACTAGAGGGGTCCCAGAGAGCAAGGAAAAGGCCCCTCACCCCAGGACAGAATGCTACAAGAACGGGTTGGTGGTCGGAGGTTTAGAGGCAAATGGGCTTGACGATGGTCCAGTCTGGAAAGAAACAAGAAAAAACTGTTAGATTGAGGGAGAAAAAACACGGCAGAAATGCAATTTAGGCTTCCTTTCTGCCTCAAAATTACTGAGGGAAGTGGGAGGCATGTGGGAAAAAGAGGTAAATGGAGGGGCAGGGGAGTGTGGCGATGACAGGGCCGAGAACAGCTGGGTCTGGAAAATACTTAGAGATGCCTGAGCAAGGGGTGCGGGATCCAACCCACAGCTCCCCCTTCTCCTGGAAGGATTCTGCCCCCTGCCCCAGAATGAAAGACCACACCCCACACCACAGAGCCTCAGGTCCTGGAGCACGTCCTCCTCACCATGAAGGGGTTGGTGGAGACCGTGGCTGGCTGGCCTAGCGGCCTCTGCCCCAGCTTGACTGATCCTAAGTCCTCGAAGGAAGAGCCTGGCAGACAAGAGCAAGAACTCAGCTGAAAGGAACCACGCCCCAAGGCTGGTGCAGACCAATCCCCTCCCCTCCCTGGAGAACCGCAAGAGGAAGTAAAAACACGGAGCAGAACCTGCACACCAGGGTTCACGGCAGCGCTTCTCACGACAGTGAAAAGGTGGGAACACAACCGCAATGTCCATCAACAGATGAACGGATAAACTAAACTAAACGCACTACTGACACGCAATGAACATGCGCCAGCCCCAAAGACGAGTGGCGTACAGATGCACACATGCAAGGACCCTGAGAACATCCTGGTGGGCAAAATAGGTCACAACAGGACAAATGCTGTGTGATCTCACATGAAATAAGCAGCTATTCAGAAATCAAAGGGTGGCAGTGGTTCCGGGGGGCAGGAGGGAGCGGAAAGAGGGAGGGCTTGCTTAGGGACATGGAGTTTATGTTACTGGTGGTGGAATGATGTGGGAAAGGATACTGAGAATAGCTGTACAACTTAAAGAATGAAATCAGTGACACTGAACGTATACATGCAGACATCTCTGAAATGGTTGTGTTTTGTTATGTATACTTTTACCACAATAAAACAGATGGGAGCTGAGTCACAGTACAAAGGTAGGCTTGTTCCTTCCCCGACTGCCCCCCACTGGTCAGAAAGGGTCCCTGATATTCTGCCTGGCTCCCTGATACTCCTGTGTCCCTGTGGGGTGGGGGATGGGGGAGTAGGTCTGAATCCCTTACCGTTCTGCTGCTGAGTCATGGAGGTCTGAGGGGAGAACAGAGGTGGTGGGAAGGTGCCAGCAAAGGCACCGGCCGGTGGCCCTGCCTGGGGAAAGCCAGGCCCTGTGGAATGAGGGGTGTGAGGCGCAGGTGAACTTTCAGAAGGTGGGCTGGAGAGGTTTTTCTTAGTACCTCCAAGGTGGGAAAATGGGTGATAGCTTTTCCCTAATAACCGGTACCCAGTGGGAGTACCCTGAATGAGTCATGAAACCCTTTAACTTCTCATCCAACCAGCGGCATCAGTTAGAGGGTACAGACCGCACCCCGTGACACTGTCAGAGGGCATGATGCCACAATGACCTCAGGACAGTGGTATCACTAGGGTTGGTGTCACCTATCACCCAGTGAGGTAACTAATCACTCCCACCTTCTCCATCATCTGCCAGTGAGGGTACACTGGGCATCTCTGCCATGGCCAGCGGGAGAGGGGAGGAGCTATAGGGACCCATGGGAGTGGGGGGCCTGCCATGGAGAGGGGGAGACACCATGAGTTGCTGCATTGGGTGCACCCTAGTGACATCATCACACACAACCTACCAAACCAAACCCTGCCCCAGTGGCTCGTGACGTGGAAAGCACAGCCACTAAGAATGGGCACAGCCACTAAGAATGGGCACGGCACAGAGCTGGGCTCAGCTGCCTGCTGCCTGTTCAACTTCATGAACTTAAGCAAATGATGATCCCTCTCTTGCCCCAATTCTTGTTTGTGAAACGGGGACAGGACCCATCTCACGGTGCTGTTGTGAAAACTAAGCAATGCCTGCAAACACCTGGCCCTGTGCCCAGCACATGGGGCAGCTGTGGTGGCTACCACCAGTCTCTCTTCCTGGCCTAAAGGTTTGGGGGAGCCCACAAAAGGGGGAGGCATGAGCTAGAGGAAAGACAAGGGGCTGGAGGGGCAGGATGGGAGGGGACCGCAGGACTCTGACCGATGAGGGCAGGGAACAGCATCATGGTTTCAACTGTTAGGCTGGGGACCCATGAGGGAAGGGGGCTGGGCTCCCAGGTGCCCCCTGCTGAGTGCTGGAGGAAAAGAATCCTTGTCACTATTGGTCAGCACTAAAACACCCTTCAGAGCTGGCTGAGGTAAGTAAAAAACAACACACAAAAAACCATTGCCTTTGAGTTAATTCCAACTCACAGCAACTCCAGTAGTAGCAGTCTGTTGTTTTTGATTCTAAAATTCTCATTCTGTTGACTTGGGTGTTTCTACTTTTAGCCACTAAAAGAAAAAAGCTAAACTCACTGCCATCGGGTCAATTTTGACTCACAGCGATCCCTCTTTGGGTTTCCGAGTCAGTATCCCTATGGAAGTAGATTGCCCAGTCTTCTTTCCGAGGAGCGGCTGGTGGGTTTGAACTGTCAGCCTTCTGTTAGCAGTCAAATAAATGCCTTAGGCACTCTGCCACCAGCGCTCCCTTTTAGCCACTAGATGGCCTGGAAATTGAAATAAGTCTGGCCTACACTGGTGAAAAGTGGGCAAGGGAAGGAGACCAGTTTCAGAAGGACACTTCTCAGTTGAGGCTGCCTGCCACCGATCCCCAGAGAGGGGCAGGGGAGTTTGTGACCTGGAGAATCTAAAGGGGCCAGGGTCGGGGGCTGTCTTACCTGCGGCCAAGCCGTTGGGCTGGAAGGGGTTGGTGGAGAGCAGCTGGGGGTGAGCAGCAGGTGCTGTGAAAGGGTTGGTGAAGGCTGTTCAGGGTGCAACGGGATGGAAGTGGGAGAATGAGGTCAGTTTGTTTTCTTGCTTGCTTAATACATGATGGCTGAGTGTTCAGACCCTGGCATGCGTTCCTCTCCGCTCTCCTCCCGTCCAGAGTCCCCAGTTTCCTCCTGGCTTTGGACCCTCTCCTGAGGTCCCCACTGGAAGGACTCACCTCCAAAGGCAAATCCTGTGCTGCCACTGCCGCCAGCTGAGGCGGACTGGAGTGCGGGCACTGGGCTAGCCATCCCAAAGACGCTGCAGTGTGGGGAGAGAAGTCAGCACGCCCGTTCTCCACGACCCAGGGCATAAGCTGAGCAATGGGCCGAGAGATGGCAAACCCCGTCCTTGCTCTCAAGGACGAGACCGGTGAGCAAGGGACAGGCAAGCAGAACAGCAGCAGAGCGGGCTGCAAAGTCAAGGCCAGAACTTCCCAGCAGGCTCTCCTGCCCCACAGCAACTCCTCGGTGTCTGGCCCTACCTGTTAGGGATACCTCCAGCTGGCCCCCCGGCTCCCAGGATGCTGCCCATATCTCCGAGGCTGCTAGGCTGGCTGGCAGGTGCGAGAGGAGAGACACCAAATGGAGTCACCTGGCTGCTCCCTGGACAATCACAGGAAATAGAACAGGCAGTGCCTAGGGTAAGGCAGGATGGAAGGGGCAGGAGAGATGAAGTGGGATTAAAGAGGCTCCAACTGGGTTCTCCTGAGCCAGTCCATTTCTCCTGTGGGTCCCCAGGAGAAAATCTGACGGCACAGTCCAAAGACTGATGCTTGGAAATGCCAAGCAATTCCTCTCACAGGAAGAGATCTGAGTCCCTGCCATTTCAAGAAAAGGCTTCCTTTATGAGTGTGTCTAAGTCCCAGCTGTATGATGGGACCTTGTCTATTATCCTGGGCTGTTGTGAAAGTGAAATGAAACCACAAATAAGGAAAGGCTTTATTTAGATTAGTGCTAGGAGACTTATTACTGAAGAGAAACAAAGCCTGCACAGTGTCTGCCAGCTAACATAAAAAAAAAACCAAACAAACTAACTCACTGCCGTGGAGTTGGATCTGACTCATAGTGACCCCTCCTTGGGTTTCCAAGGTGTATCACTATAGAAGTAGATTGCCCAACCTTCCTTCCAAGGAGTGGCTGGTGGGTTTGAACCGCCAGCCTTCTGGTTAGCAGTCAAGTGCCTTGGGCACTATGCCACCAGAGCTCCCGCCAGCTAACTAGTGCTCAGTAATTGTTTGCTGAGTGAATATTTGAATAGGCAGGTCAGAAGAACTGAACACTTGCCACTTCCGTGACTCTGGCAAACTATCTCATTGTGTTTCTTGTCATCTTACAGGTTGGTGGTGACTCTGAGATAAGTGAAAATGTTTTGGAATCCATAAGGTCTAATACAAAGGTGAAGTATTACCATACTACTAATGTACGAGACTACTTCCAGGTAAGATTCAGACATGACAGCTGGTGGGATAAAACGCTTCAGAAAGTAGAAAAGGATGAGACTGACAGCAGTGGTGATGGGGTTGCTTTCACATGGGCTGCCTCTCAGAGAGAAGCGGAAGAAAAAGGGAAAAGAAAAGATAAAAGACGTGAGATGAGGAAGGAAAAGGCAAAGCCAGGTTGGCTCTCGAATCTTCATGGCTCTTCTGCCCCCTAAAGTTAGCTTGGTTTCTTGTCAGTAGAGTTTTGGGCTTTTTGTAAATGCCTCAGAACCATAATTTGAATCTTCATGTGCTTCGTGTTCTAAAGGCTTAAAACCAAAAACCAAACCACTGCCATCAAGTTGGATCTGACTCACAGCGACCCTTCCTTGGGTTTCCGAGGCGGTGTAGCTTTACGGAAGTAGATTGCCCAATCTTCCTTCCGAGCAGTGGCTGGTGGGTTTGAACCATCAGCTTTTTGGTTAGCAGTCAAATGCCTCAGGCACTACGCCACCAGAGCTCCCTTCTAAAAGCTTAGATGGTAATAAATAAATAAAAGTAAATCCCATAAACTCATTGCCATTGAGTTGATCCTGAGTAGATCTGTCCCATAGGGTCTCCCAGGCTGTAACCTTTACAGGAACAGACTGCCACATCTTTCTCTCATGGTGAGAGTTTGCGCTAGTGAGCTCAAACCGCGAACCTTCCGGCTAACACCTGCGTGCTTAACCACTGTGCCACCAGGCCTTCATTAGGTAGTATTTACCCAAAAAAGTTTCATGAGGGCATCATTCATGTGCCCACAGAGCATAAATACCCATGACTCAGGCTCTAATTCTACGAAGACAGGCGAAGGAACCAGTGCTGACCTGTGGCTAGCTTCTAAGGAAGAGTCCTCTATTTTGCTACTCTCTCCCAAGCCCCTGGGGTTCTAGATGAACAAGTTCTCATTCTGAGCTTCCGCCCTTGCTAGGCCGTGAGGCCACTGTGCACACTCACTCTTCGATTCTCTCCAGTCCAAAGGACGTCGGGAAGGCTGAGTGCCAACAGGGTGGTGCTGGTCTTCCTTGGACTCCCCAGGCCCCAGGCCTTTCCCCTGCCCGACTGACTCAGGTCTGTGGAATTTCCAAGCCAATACAGCTCTGTCCTCAGCTAGGTCAGACTTTTCCTTACTGTTCTGGGCCTTCCTGTTCAAGGAGCTTCTCCCTTAGTGAGGACTGGGTCCACAACCTGACTGGACTGCAGCCAGTGCCGTGTGCCTCTCTGTGGACGCTAGAGGGCAGAGCTGGTCCTTACCCGTATGGGGTTGGCACCCTACACAAACGGTGCATTCTCAGACTGTGGCTGCTAGGAATACCACATTGTGGCCTGCTTCTTAGGCACGTTCAGAGCCTCACTCCATGGTACTGAAACTGTACACAGATCTTAGAGCAGTTTCAGGAGACACTGCAGTCTTAGAAATCTCCCCTCTCTGTACTTCCCTCAGAAATATAAAGCCGGTCTTGTCAGAAGAGACACTTGCATCTCACTAAACCTCCATTCTTACTGCACACCCAGTAGCTCTTTTGTTACACGTACAGGAACAGCGTTATGATCATGTGATCAAAGCGCTTAAGAGTTGCGACTTATCTGCCATTGAATTTGGCCAAGTCACTGGCCAAGTGAGCTGGTTTCCTCAAATACAAAATGGAGATCTTCCTTCCTCATGGAAATAACACGTGAAAGCTCCTGGTAACGGCACTTCCAAGCCCATGGTGGATCCACATACCCTTGGCTGACTGTGGACCTGACTGCAGACTGTCTGCTCTTTGAGATGACACAGGGTTCAATGCCTGGGATGGTTGAGGGCTGGGCCTGCCTTCTCTGGGGTAGGGTAAGGGCAGGAGAGGGGGCGCGGGGGGCATGCACAGTCTGTCTAAAGTAATCAAGTGTTCTAGGAACACACTTCTGAATGGACCAATGTGAAACAACCTTGGAGAGGCTGTTTCATTTACTATTTCCATTTCTGGGGACATGTATCTCTTTCTAAATTGGACATTTCTGCACCAATTGACATTCCTACTTACAGTGTTCAAGAAGGCCCGTTTCCCCGCATAGTACTGGCCATTTTCAAGCTTTAACACTTTTGCCAAAGTTGCTATTGGGTGCTACTGAGTTGGTTTCGACTCACGGTGACCCTGTGTCCAACAGAATGAAACACTGCCTGGTCCTACGCCAGCCTCACAATCCTTGCTGTGCTTGAGTCCTTCGTCACAGCCACTGTGTCAATCCATCTCCTTGAGGGTCTTCCCTTTTTTTGTCGACCTTCTAATTTACCTAGCATGCTATCCTTCTCCAGGGACTGGTCCCTTCTGACAACATGACCAAAGTAGGAGAGATGAAGTCTGACCATTCTTACTTCTAAGGAGCATTCCGGCTGTACTTCCTCCCAAGACAGGTTTGTTCATTCTTCTGGCAGTCCACGGTACGTTCAATATTCTTTGTCAACACCAGAATTTAAGTGGTCAATTCTTTAACCTTCCTTATTCAATGTCCAGCTTTCACATGCATATGAGGTGACTGAAAATCTTTGCTCTTAAACATTTTAAAGAGGTCTTATACAGCACATCTGCCCAATGCAATATGTCGTCATTTGATTTCTTGACTGATGTTTCTATGGCTATTGATTGTGGATCCAAGTAAAATGAAATCCCTGACAATTTCAATCTTTTCTCCACTTACCGTGATGCTGCTTATTGGTCACTTGTGAGAATTTTCGTTTTCTTTATGTAAACAAAAGGTGAATACTGTAGTCTTTGATCTTCATCAGTAAGTGCTTCAAGTCTTTTCCACTGTCATCAAGCAAGGTTGTGTCATCTGTGTATGGCAGGTTGTCAGTGAGTATTCCTCCAATCCTGATGCTCCATTCTTCTTCATACTGTCCAACTCCTTGGATTACTTGCTCAGCATACAGACTAAGTACGGTGGAAGGATACAACCCTGATGCACACTTTTCCTGATTTTAAAGCATACACATCCTCTTCTTCTATTCAAACAATTGCCTCTTAGTCCATGTACATGTTGCTCGTGAGCACAATTAAGTGTTCCGGAATTCCCATTCTTTGTAATGTTTTCCATAATCTGTTTTGATACACACAACTGAATGCCTTTGCAAAGTCAATAAACATAGGTAAACATCCTTCTGGTACTCTTTGCTTTCAGCCAAGATCCATTTGACATTAGCAATGATACCCCTCATTCCATGCCCCCTTCTGAATCCAGCTTGAATTTCTAGAAGTTCCCTGTCAATGTATTGCAATTGTTTTTGAATTATCTTCAGAAAATTTACTTGCATGACATTAATGATCACGTTTGACAATTTCTGCATTCTGTTGGATCACCTTTCTCTGGAATGGGCACAAATATGGACTCTTCCAGTTGGCTGGGCTCGTAACTGTCTTCCAAATTTCTTGGCATAAACAAGTAAGTGCTTCCAGCATTGTATCCGTTTGTTGAAACATCTCAGTGGGTATTCTGTCAATTCCTGGAGCTTTGTTTTTCACCAATTCCTTCAGTGCAGCTTTGATTCTTCCTTGAATACCATCAGTTCTTGATTATATGTTACCTCCTGAAATGGCTGAATATCAACCAATTATTTCTGGTACAGTGACTCTATATATCCCTTCTATCTTCTTTTAATGCTTCCTGCATCAATATTCTTTCAATAGTCAATATTTTGCCCATGGAATCCTTCAATATCACAACTTGAGGCTTGAATTTTTCTTCAGTTCTTTCAGCCTGAGGAATGTCAAG